GTTAGAAGGCACTGATCAAAGCAAATTCACATGAAGTGAATTCTGTTTAAACGTCAATAGATTCTGCTCAATTGGCTACATTGGGCCTTAAGTTAGGACGTTTTTCCTAGGACAGAGAGATTTACTTCCTAAAGTAAAGGTGGACGAACATTTTCTACTCAATATTGATTGTCAGATGAAGTTTGTGCAGAAAAGCTGCCAAAGCCGAAAGAAGAGAGCGACGGGCATCATCACTGAAAACAACAAGCGTTTGGCTTACATTGGAGAGGATGCTGAGACGAGAATTAACACACGAGTTAGGAGTGCGCTGTGCGGAATCTATCAGGCTGCAAGTCTTTTCTCACCGAAGCAACCAATATGCGTGGTTCAGCAGACTTGATAAGATAAGGTTGCAAATCTAAGTATACTTGTCAATTCATATTTACAGGCGGTAGCAAGCACGAATGAAGAACAGAGCGGTGGTTGTCTACCAAGATTGCAAACAGTGCATGCCAAAGAGTCTGTCTCAGAGGTTTGTCCTCATTTCACAGCGCAGGAGCATGTCTGTATTATGATGAGGAAAACCAAGTATACGCTTTGGACGCCTCAGCAGACTAAAGAACGCACACCTACTTCAAACCACAGCTGGGTTTTTCTATATGATGACTGTGCAATTTTAATTTTTTTGGCCAAGTTTACCGTAAAACAGAACGTTTGCTGATGGATCCATCGCTAGATCTTGTTCCAGCAGATCCACTGATAGCACAATTAGGGAATGAGAAACTGCAAAGTTCACATTGTTAATCTAGAAGTGAAGTTCACCCGTGAAACAGGGAGAGATGGAAAATATCAATTCCTGTTAGGTTGCTATCAAGTAGAAGAGGTCAGTATTGGGAACAGCAGTTTTATATGCAAAGTTCTCCAGCAGAGTCACTCTGTTCAATGATTTCATTCTTAAAGTTTTGCTGTGAAAATTATATGCAAACTACTTGATTGAAATTGTAAGTGTAGACCGATGTGCATGCTTACACTGACTGTTTACCCTCCAGTGGTGGATGCGCATACACAATTCAGTCCTGTAGTAGGTCAATCGTGGTCTAAATAGCTCAGTGCTAGCATCTTAGTCTGAAGCATTGGACGATTTGGGTCCGAATATCTAGTGGAACATCACTTCCATCAACATTGTACATGAGGCTTGCTGACAAGTCCCAGAAGCAAGAAATGTAGATATGGAGCTGCCTGCCGATCGCCTGAATACAACTAATATCCGCTGAACATTTTCACCCAAGAAAGTTGTATATAACTGCTGTCACACGGATTTGAGAATGAAATCGCTGAAAATGATCTGCTTGTTGAGCCATTCTCTCCCTTCCTAAATATAAATACTCCCTTTCTTGTGGAGCCTTTTGTTACCGCCACCAACGTCATATTTATTCTATTCGAAGTTCATATTTTACTCTCACTTCAATAAAATATAAGTGTCAGTTTCAGTCCTTTATCAGATTGTCACCATACTATAATTTATTCTCGGTATAGCTACTACTGTGTTCATATGGCGAATTCTCACTCTCATTGAAATGTTTCATTTCACTTTATTCATGACTTTGAAAGAAGATTCTGAATTTGATCTTCTATACATCACCCATTAGAGGATATAACTCGATCGGTGAAAGACGTATTCGATTACTGTTGTAAACGATTCCATGAGACTGGATCGAAAATCAAGTGATTCCTTGGAACTATGAAATTGGTGATGAAATTCTATTGACAACTTCACTCCTATTATTAACTATTTTAATGTCAAACGAAATAAGAAATGTCAATCATAATTGAGAACAGGTCAATAATAACCATTTTATGTCAAGATAAATCGAAATCTCCTACTATAAATAGGCTTCAGTGAGTAAGTAGTCTTAAGCAAAAGCAGAACAAGTACTCAACAGAAATGATGAAGGTGAAGAAATGTGTACACAATGAACAATAATATGTGTTTCTTTATCTTCTCACAGATTCTGTTATCAACGTATCTTGTTTGCGCATTCCTGTATCTTCATGTCGATGGTGCTGACGGTAAGCTCAACCTGTACAATGTATTCTGTATTCTACAACACTTTATTTATTGTTCAGGTAACTGATGTGTATATTAATTTTCTGAAGTGTTGATGATAGAGAAATCTGAATGTTGTTACAGTAGAATTTGTCTATCACTTATGTGGCTGTGAAATGATAGTAATGTTGAAGTTTAATATCCAGTCAGTCGTTGTGGGTAGTTTTGAACTATTGTAAGAATGATGCTGATTACAGATTGGCTTATGCACAATCTTGATGATGCTCATGAGGATAAGTTTCATTGAAACCTTGGGGAATATCTGTCATGGGATTGTCTCGCATTATATACTAGTTATGAGGAGCTTGTCATTTGTCTACGTTTCTCGTAAAATACAGAACTGCTGGCAGAATGTTCACTCGGGAATAAATTTTAGTATTTATTAATGATAATCTTTGTTCCAACACTTTACACCGTATCACTTAATGCGAATTAGGTGGCGACACCCATGGCATCATGAAGGCGCAGATGAAAAGTGAATAGTTCCTATTTTACACTGTGATGATGAAAAGTGAACCTACTCGTTGTATTTAACTCTGTTATGTTTGAAGCATTCAATTTGATGAATGTAATATGGATTTTCAATTCTCGAAGCCTAATTACTCAGTCATGCTACATACTAATATGAAATTATGAAAACGTAGATCACGGTTCAATTGGTTCAGTGTAATGCAAAATAATAATGGATATCTTGGTCGGGAATATTTGCCCTTTCACCAAGAGAAACTGATTGTCAAGCCAAATTGATTTGTAGATGATTTACAGGCTGATGATAATGATGTGAACAACACACAGATACGAATATCACACCCAGTCTGCTCATTTTTTGTACGATTCATGAACAAGACGGTTTACGATGCTTTGTAATGTGTTAGGAGTGCTGGTACCTAGTTTCTTATATCTGCGACCTTTAAATCCCTATTCTTCTCAGAGATTAGGATAGATTTAGTTGATTGTTGAGGCGCGTCACCCTACACTGGAAGGAATTACGCATTGACTGAGGTCTGTCAATTAACTCTAGGAACTTCAATGTTGCTTCAGATACATTCCATGACCAGGCTACACCTTTCCACACTCGAAATCAAAATCTTTTCTGTTAGCATCTTGTTCACAAGTTATTTATCTTGCAAGTGGAAAATACAATTGTTGACTATGAATGCAGCTCTGATTAACGTGGGTTCAAGTCTCAGTCCGGACCTCTTTGCATCGCAGTTACACCTACACCTTGATGACGCATGCCAGTTAGCATGAGAGTTAGCCTCAAAGTTTCTTGCCGAATGTCTCCATTCCACTTGCAATGAAACAATGTTAACCAGACTGAAATGTGAGACAAACTAAGTATATGAAGAGGTGGAGAATATTTGTAGCTCAGGAGTATGGTCGTGGCTTCAATCAGTTCTCAGAGGTGGGTTGTTTACTCGTTAAACAACCCACGTCAGGGAACACAATACAAACAAAACTAAGTATATGTAACTTCATTTTACTTACTTATTAGATTTCAAGGCTAGGTGCATTCATGCTATCCTAAAGACCAAAGCCTAACTGGTTAGTAGGGTCTTGAGATGAGCCTCTTCGTCTTCGTGATATGATCAATAAAACTGCATTTAACGGTTATTATTCACAGCAATATAAGCATAAATTTTAGGCACTGTGGTAGAATATGATTTCATGTTAGATTAGTCCTTTGATGTAGCAGATAGTCATATCTTATCATTTAGTACATTGAACTATACACAACTGTATATCACATGGGATGGAATAACCTTAGATGAGACAGAATGTTATGAGTTTTAACTAATATTTTCAAGTTGCTTTCGTTTGTGATGATGTTAGGAGTCTCTGATGTCGAAATATCTTGATCACAAAACAAACAGGAATGCATAAACTTGAAAGGAAGAGATATTGAGAACTGGAGTACACGAAATAAGGCGATACAAATGATACTAAATTGCTCAGCATTTCGCTGGTGAAAATAAGTAAATATATTTATGAATGAGTGTAAGAGATATTTAACGTGATGAATGTCCAACTTCTGATTGTTCTACACTCCTACATGACTTTCATCACCATTCAGTGACGTAGTACACCTTGGTCCATCAAACACCAACTTAATTATAACTTGATTCCAACTCACCTAATGCCATCCAAGAAGGTAGACTAAGGCTCATTATAACTAGCTCACGTATTAGTCATCGGAGCTGATCAAATTACACAATCGTATCAGCACGCTTACCCATGTTGTGTGTCAGCATATTCTTGGCTTCAACACAACTCACTTTGTTGCTGTCTCACACATGAGTACTGTTGCGAAAATCCGTAACTGATTGAATATTTTATATCATCAGCGGTCACTGAAATAACGTTTTCCCATCTTCATAAATGAGTGAATATGAAGCATTAAGATGATCCTCGCATCAACTTTGAGCAGCCTAACTTTCTGCAAATTCCCCTATTGTAAACATCGAAATTCTTGTAACTTGCTCACCTTTTCATTGTTATCTAATAAATGATTCATTGAAAACTTCATAAACTCTCTATGCTATACCGACACATAAGTGTACATGACCATTTACAGTCTGACATCTGTGTGATATATATTAAAATCCTTTTATGCAAGCGCAACAATGCGATTTCGATGAGAAATAACCATCATATATAGTATAAAACCAGATTTCACTTCTTGTGAACAAACGGTGAGACGTGTGTCGAGAGAGACTGAAAAATTCCTACATTGTTTAAATGTTCTGAATAAATTCTTGCAAACATTTTGTGTTAAATAAATGGAAATCAAATTGTGTGGAACACCTGAATTTAATGTAAATTCTCATGTCAATTTTTGCGAAAATGAAACTGATATGTATGCTGACTGATGATATATTTTAACTTGTTTGTAGAGAAGTCAGTGAAAAAATTGATGAAACGTGTTAACGTGGGTAAACCTCCGAAAGTGTTTGAAAATGAAACACATACAATCACAGGTGAGATACAATATTGACTAACACAGCGTGACTAGATTGGAGTGGATGGCAAACGGTGAAAGAGATGAATAGTACAGCAGAGGGTGGAAGAAAAGAGAGAGCCTTACCATTCACTATTCCACCAGGTAAGCTAAACCAAAAGTAGACGTTTTTATCTAACATCTGAATGTCAACTCTTACTTATTGTGAATTCATCACTGACTTAGTTCATAGGACGTGGACATTCCTATCTCAAATTCACTGCATTTGTGTTCTGGTGTGTGAAGAGAGAAGTCTTGGAAGATAGTCGTAGTAAGAAGCACCTGAGTGTACAAGATATGAGTTCTGCTACTTCACCTTCAAACCATTGATAAGAGAGGTGATAAATGGAAGAGCACGTAGTATAGACACAAATTTCGCTTCCTGATCATTCTTCGCTGAACTTCAGTAAATGGTCTTATACATTTAGAAATACCTGCTCACCAATTTATTGTTGAGTTGAGAACTCCCGTTGAAAGCCATAAACTCTGTCTCCTTACTTTCAACCGATAACAAGTTACTCTTGAAATGGAACTTACTCAGAAAAGTCACAAACCGCCTCAGATCAGGTTTTCGTATATTTATGAGGAAACTAGTTTCTTACTATTTCTGTGCTCTGAAATACTGATGTATTCATCAAATGAATGTCTGTCCTATTCTGGGATTATGGAACTGATGGACAACATCAACCAATGGAACGTGACACCTGTTCTGACTGTTTGAAGATGAGACGAATCTCATCTGTGAGTTCAACTCATTTACCTTCGAGACTAGCACTCGCTGGTGTTACTGGATGAGAATTTCACTATGCCATCAATTATCAGAAGTAGAAATGTATGGAACGTTGGACCTTCCCGAAGTAACTGAATGGTAGAGTACTTGCCATTAGACATGATGGATTCAAGCTCCATCTCTCACAGTGGTGTGGTTATACACTGTTGAATGTCCAAAACTAGGACAAAACAGGCGTTCAGTGCTTCTGAATTTTCACTGGTTCCACAAATGATTTCAATCTCCCACAAAAAATACTTCATATAAACCAAACGATCACCTTAATCAGTTGGAAAGCATAATTTGTTGAAACTGTTCCACCCAATTATGATCAACTCATCATTCGAGTATGCCAGCAAATCTAAATGTTCAACAATCACTCGGTCAGTAACGCGTTGTTGATTACTAGTGTAAATCAGACTACGATATGTCAGACTGAGTAATAAGTATCAAAGAACTGAAGTGTTTCATCAGATTGTCAGATGTTGGGAGGGAATTAGGTATGAAAAGTCAACTGTGACAATATGATCGTAAGAGAAGTTTGGACGATTGAACTAAGAGGAAGTTGGCAGCTAAATATATCAATATAATGAACAGAAGAAGAAGAAGAAGCGAAAATTGACTGTGCGTTTACACACGATAATTGGTGGTTGATTGCAGTCGACAGCATCTCCACTCAATTCGTCTTTGAATCTTTTACAACCATCCAAATGTTAAATTACACTGCGGTGAAAATGTTAACAACATAACATCTTCATCATTGAAACAACCTGATGCTTTTTCTTTTCTTCTTATTTTAGAAGACGGATGGGATGTCATCACAGAAATGAAAACAGAAGAGATAATTGTACCACATAGTTATAAGGTTACTAAAGGTACTCCTAAAGGTAATTCTATTCTCTCATTTTGCATTTCACCTATCTCATCACCATGACTTTCATCCAGTTAAGAGAATGATATGGAAAGGATTCTATTATGAGGATCACCTGTGATTAGATTAGGCATCAGTTCGAAACCTGCCCTTCATAGAAATTCATCAGTCTACAGACAAAATGAAATGAGGTTCATGTACGTACAACTTATTCGCGAAGTTATTCCTGGTTCTTCACATTTCGATGGCCGCATTTTTCAGTACACTATCTCTAGGCGAATTCCCAGGATTCCAGACATGCATCACCTCCTCATTACATGCAAATAAGGAAGTTTCTAGGCAATCTGAAATATCCGTGAAGCAAGCGCAGTTAATCATCACTCAGACACCACATAATTTACTACATGTGAACATCATCATTTCTATTCAACAACTTGACAATGCAGAATCATCCATGCAGAAGAACTCAATTCAAGTTGTCATATATAAGCCTGGATATGGTTTACTTCAGTTTGATCTAACTGTCGTGAATGAATCTATCAGCACTGAATAGCATGTCTTCTATTGAAACATTTATTCTGTTTCACATTCACTTCAAAATACAAATACCAAAATGATGGATATCGTTTATCCAGTGCCTACATTTCTTTAGACCATCTCATTCAAAACTGAAGTGTATATGTGTGAGTACAGTTAGCAATCTTATCTCGAACTTGGATAGATACAAGTGTGATATTATGACTAAAAAATTATATTTGATGGTGTCATCCAGCACCCCTGCTCAACTACTTGTCTATTTACATCATACGACAACACAATCTGGAGAACACGATGTTGAAATTCCCCCGAATGTTGTCAAATGCTTCAATCTGGCTTACTAATAGAAAAGTTGTTAGTGGCATTCAATTCATTGCTTGCCTTGATTTAGGAATTATTTGTGATTATCTAAAATGGTTTTCTGAAACAAGCAATTAAGAAGCCAGTGAGAGAAGTGAGGACATAAGATGTAAATCGAAAAAGTTCTTAAAACCACAACTTGGAACCAGAAATCTTTGAAGTGGTAGACCTTCGGGAGGAATATGTCGCCTTCTTATATCTTCTCCTCACACAGTTAGTATTTAAATGTATAAACATTTGTATAGTGTCATTTGAATTCGAAATAGTCACATTTCATTTCATGTTAACTGGTTTTCATAGCTGTAAAGAAGGCGAAGAAGAAACCTGCATCAGGTGAGTCTCAAGTGTTTATAGAATGTACAATATACCTACAGATATTTGTCATGCTAACCACTTGCATTTTGTATAAGCTTTTTTGATTCACGTAGCACACAGTTGCACATTATGAATTGGTTGGCGAATTACAGAACAAAATGTTCTACTCACTGCAAAACTTACATCCTCTCACACTGCCCATAATTTACTTGTACACAAACATCTGACTTCAACACACTGCTTTGTAACACAGACAAGGTTTGCAGGCACGAATAAACGTCAAAACTATAAAGGTATTTATACACGGGTAACATGTGAACTCTATGGTGGAATGCAATTCCGGTTCACCTGATTCATTTAATGCATCGTATTGTGGAAACGTTTTCTTTACTCCATTACCTCTCGGACACAATTTGTCATCCATAGTCATATCAAGATCTTGACATGACTACATAGTAATGATGACAAGTAGTATCACTGTTCCATTATGTGATACATAGGATAAATCAACTCAAATGGAATCATAAACATACTTGTATTCCAATTGATGGAAAAAGATCATCATAAAGTAGGCAACATTTTATCAGACACCATGTTTCTAAATGTAGTCCAAACTGATCACATTGCTTCCACTCAATCAGTGGTATACATGAACTATAATAAAATATACAAAACTTAGAATGATAAACTAAGCTGTTATAGAGAGACACGAACAAGAAGACGGGATTAGATATCTATTGTTTGAATCAATATCTAATAATTTCTTAGCAGCCATTCCAATGAACACTGAATAAACCTGTGTTTGCGTGTGCAAATCTGAACTGACATCTAAATTGTGAGTGTTGAGTTGATTCGAACAATCAGCTTACTAGCTTGTCAATTTATCAAGTGAAATAGCAGAACAAATAATAATTTGTATTTCAGCTACGCTTCCAATACAACGTAATTCAACCATCAACTATGCAAATTCAACATTTCCAAATGTTTATTCTACATCACGAGACGTGTCGAGATGGGGATGTTATTGAAGAAAATCAACAATCATATACTGAATTCCTTGTCGCATCTCGTTGAGTAGCGGTCTGTTATTTAGTCAGATAGACAAAAGTAATGAAAGTGAAACCTCGGAGAGAAGTCCATGAATTCAGTTTGTTACACTTCACACAGGCATACCGAGAACGAGTGAAATAAAGATGTCTTATAACAGAGTGGACAAAAGGTGTACGAGAGGAAGAGAAATTCGAAAATCGATGGTAACGATAATATTCAGTAAATAGTAGAGAATATTTGTAGCTCAGGTTGATAGTATTGGTTGCATTGTGTTCTCTAAGCTGAGTTGTTAAATCGTTACGCTTTCATCCTCTTTTTAGACGACATGATCAGTACTAACTTCAGTATGAATTGAGCTGTCATTATCTCTCCTTGACTGTTTTAGTAGCTTGCTTTGACACTCACGGAGAGATAATGACAGCTCACTACATACTGAAGTTAGTACTGATGATGACATCTAGAAGGAGGATGAAAGCTTCACGATTAAACAACAAAGCTCACAGAACCCAATACAACCAAGACAATATTCAGTCCTTAGAAGACGCCAAGGAGTGAATCAATCATCTGAAGTGTCATAGTAGATTTCCAGCATCATCACCCAGTGTTCCCCACCTCTCTTTCTTATGATCTCATTGACTCCAGTCATGTAGTCTACACCTCCGTATAAGGCTAAGACCAGCAGACAATGAATGGGTAAAATGTCTGCAGCCTATGAAGTCGATTTCATGATAACCTTCTCAACTGGTAGCCAACATTCATATTGTATTTTGAAAATAATCATATTAGAGAAGAAGTAACAGAAAGTTATGCAAGTCAAATAATCTCCCAACCCCTTTGTGAAATGCGCAACTTCTAGCCTAGTTAGAAAGCTTCGTTAAACTTGTTGCGTCTCCTAACTTTCATAAAATCAACTGAGTGGTTTTCCAGATGTGTGCATGAGAAATTTATATTATATGGTGTGAGACGTCATTTTTGATCCAGTGTACAGAGCAAGAAGATCTGTTTGATAATTGTAACAAGTGACCGTTTTCACATACATTATGACAGTAGTACTCTCATATGAACATCACTAAGTCATCGGTAGGTGCAGACTTCAGACATTAAAACAATTCTCACATGTGAATAGTGATCACTCTGAAATTTGTAAAGGTATGCGTTGGGTTGGTTGTTTGCAGGCAACCATTGAGAAGCTTCAATTCAACTTGCTTCCACGGTTGTTGGCACTTGCCGGCTGGGTGTACGAAAACCTTAATTGAAATGATTTCTCCTCTGAAACTCGAGACCTGATTCATCCCCTTCAGCAGTGAGCGACATTTCCACTGAGGTATTTAGGCAGTCTTGGTTGTATTGTGTTGTGTTGTGTTGTGTCAAGTTATCTGAACTGACTGGTTCAGTCACAGAACACAAAAGAACATGGATCATCTACCTGAGCTACAAATAATTTCAACCATCTTAATGTTTCAGGTGATGTTCATAGTCCAAAAAACATGGAACCTTGCAAATTTCTCTCCTCTCAACATAACTTTGCAAGTTCACTCATTTCATATTAGCATATCATTCTGTTCAATTCGATGGTAGGAATTTCGTCAACCTGAAATCTCCGAATGCAACAGCAGTCTGTAATCAGTACTCACAATTATTTCTAGCTCAAATGACCTGTTTCGCATTGCAAATCATTTAACTCAACATAACTAAACATAAACATAAGTTAACGTGGACAAAGTCTACAGAATATAATTGAATTGTATCCACATGTTTTCAGATGATGATGAGCGCAAATCGAGATCTGAGATTCGGGTAGTCAGAAGAGTGAAGGTTGACAAAAATAAGAAAAGTAAGTATTATCAATGAAACCAGTAGACATCAAAAGCGTTAACTTCTTGCGGTGTTCTACTGTTGGTGAAAACGCTGTGAGTGAATGCAGACTAGTAAGTTGAGTTCCATTCGAACAGTGAAATCGATGATTGGATACAATTGGTTGTGTGGTTTGGAATTGGTGACTTAGATCCACTCACGTACCATCATTCTGATAGTGATATCTATTCCATCATTTGTTTTGCCTCCATCAAATATTCTATCAATCAATAAGATCAATACACCTTTATTTAGATTTCCAGAGAGTAAGTTCATGCTAAGCTGAATGACATGAGGCATTGAAGAGCTAAGCAAAATGATCTTCAGGATTTATGAAGTGTATCATTGTGAATAGAATGTCTCAGCTACACTGGGGTATGCCACGACATAGAGAAATCTTACAGTGTGATTAGTTTTGTCGAGGATTGTAAAATCAAGATTCTGTCTTCGACATATATCAGGTAGTTGGAGGTTACTCACATCAATCAACAATGCCTGCAAAACCAGGTCTGAATACACCACATGATTAGAAGACAACGAAAGCGATTTTCTGAATATAAGATATCCTCCTTGACTTTTGACCTAAGAGATGCTTAATTGTGATATTCTATTCTACTTATAGAGGAGGAAAAGCCTAAACCTGAGGAAAAGAAACCAAAGTCAAAGCCCAAATCTGATGGTAATATGAAAACGAATAAGTTATATTTTTAATCTTACATAGTGGTAAATAAATCATTCACCGTCCTCATTATATCAGCAGGATATTAGATGACCACCTTTCGATTTCGGAGTGAATAGGTGCATACTGAGAAATGACTGAATTTAACAAACGGCATGATTTATTCACCTGAATGGTAACTGATCACTCTCCTAAGACTTCAGAGGTGAGCACAATCAAATCAAGATACTGACACAGCCATTCAATTCATCAGTGTTCCTCTGTCCAC